CTGAAATATTTAAGCAAGCATCTAATTCCTAATAACCAAAGTATTCAAAGTTCATTTCTCTTTAACTAAAAATAAAATCAAAAAGGAGGATGATTTCATTTCCCTTTGTTGACTCATCTTACAATCATTTCTAACTCTATTGTCTGAACATAAGAGGAAAAAAATATTTCTACAAAGCCAGGCCTATGTCCTTTGTAGATAGCACAAAAGAAAAGCATTCTTGTTGTGATCAAGTTTTGTGCATGTTCCAGTTTCCTTAACAAGGTTAACCCCACAGTGACATGCATAACTCTAGTGAAAGGAAAAATTTCAGATGTTTTCTCTATGTTGTTGGTTTATAGTTTATGGGAGAAGGCTGCCCTCTTCTGACAACTTTTCAATTTCCATAAAAGTCTTCACACATTTTTGTACTTTCCATTTACAGTTTCTCCTTTGTTTCTCCGTACATTGTATCAATAGGGTCATTATCCCTACTCCTTCTGCTCATATTCAGAATGATATAACATAGGAATGAGAGGGTTAAACACACCAAACTATTAATGTGTAAACTGAATGTATTTGACAAACATGATAAAAATCACCATACTTCATACTCAGTCAAGCAGGAAGCTGGTAGGTGTCTGGTATTTTGAGTCGTGATAAAAAAATTAACTGCCACACTTCCACTTTTTAAACCTTTTTAAAAGGTGTCATCTTCCCATTTTTCAGACACACCAGTTGTAGGGATCTCTATGTCCACAGCACCTTGGCAGTATCTGTGTAAGCCTTTTAGTCTGAATCCTGACTTACCACATCCAACTTCACATTGCAGACTGGTCTCAGAATAGGCAGAGCATTTAATTGCTTTCAAATGAAATTAAATAGAAGGAAGCTTTCCAGGAGCACACCTAATGCACTCTCACCAGTGCTGGGGACTCAGCTCTTACATTCCTGTAGTACACAGAAGGATGCACGGGCAGAAATAAAACTGGATTTTGATGCCACACTGCAGAGCCTCCTTGGTAGCTGCAGCAAATCCAGAGCTCTGTGGTACCAGCCATACAGGCTGCTTCTTACCTTGTAAGAAAGAACAGACAGTTCACTTGAAATTGACAACTGAACACAGAATTTTAGGAGTTACACATTGACTACTCAATGTGTATTAAAATTATATTAACAGCCCCAGAAGTAAGGCCTGTCACCCAGGAGACCCTCTCCCACTGAGAACTCCAATTTCTGGGCATACTGTATTTTCTCTGTCCCAAAGGCTCAAAAGAAACCTTGGCAACTTCAAAGTGGAAAAAGAAGTTGAGGTACCAGCTGAGTGCTGCCAGTGGCAGCTGTCAAATGCATAAGGTGACAGTGAACTTACCTTGTTTTAGGAACTGTTTAGGACCCCATGTCCAAATCCTTCATTCCTGACTCATATCAGCTGTGCTGTATTGACCCATCAGTGTCCATCCAGACATTTAATGCCCCATGTGATTATTAATTACCCTGAAATACTGCTTCAGAAGTAACCTATAACTCTATTTACATAATTTGCATGAGAAGAGTAGATGTTTTTACAGTGCTTTCTTCTTCTTAAAAAGATACTCAACCTCCTTTCAGCATGTCCTTATTATTTTTTTTTCCACTTAGCTGCATATAAACCCAGCCCTCAATTCTACCATATATCTGCACTTCATCTTATACAAATAAGTAATTCCAATGTGTAATCAATCCTTATCTGAGACAGAGATCATAAACCACAGCCTTAACTCTATACAGCACCACTGAAATCAATACAGCCATCCCAAATTAAACTAGCAAATGGTCTTGTCCCGCATATCTTTGATCTAGAGCTCTTCAGCCTATCATGAATTAAGATGATGATGCAGCAAACATCTCCTGTCTTATACTCATTGCCTTTCATCCAAGTAACATCCTGCTTGCTCCAGTGACTCCTAGCACTTAATGAGATTCTTGACTTATCCTTCCTGTCATGCCATTCCAAACAGTATAGTTAAAAGAAAAAATTAATTTATCAAATACTAAACTGGTCCTATACACACAGAGGAAAAACAAGTTTGTATGAGTTTTTTTAAACTGGCCACTTAACAATTTAATCTCCCTGTGACTACACACTACATATAAATACTGCATTAAATTTCCCAAGCTTGTTGCATCTGATGAAACCAACTTAGAGCTCATTACTGCGAGTACACACTAATGAGATCCCTTTGGTATCACTACAATACAGTGGTTAATTACAGAGCCTACATTTACTCATGGGACATATCTTTCTTCCCATGTATAGAGATTCTCCCTTGCTGTTTAACAAACTAGATACAAGCACATTTTTTTGTAAAAAAAAAAAAAAATTAACAAATTTATCATGACAAATTGGTAAGTGTTTCCATTTTACAGGTGGGAAAATCAAAGCAAAATAGCATCACTAGGCAACACAACAGGGCTTATTGCCAAATACTGAACCAGGAGAAAACTGGAGCATTTAGGGCAGTTGTATAAGGCAAATGTTTAATTCCAAATCAAACTGGTCTGAAATGACCTAATTCACCACTTAAGATTTTCTCAAAGGAAGCTGATTTGGTGTACTCAGCCCCTTCTGAATTTCCCCAATGACACCTTTTTGTATTAAAATGAACAATGTTAGTGGGTATTTTGCACTCTGAACACAAATACACAAATGAACTGCAATGAGTCCCGCCTCTCTTCAGCTCTGATGCAGAAGTTTGCTGCACTGAGCCACCAGCACTTGCCTCAGAACAGGGAACTCCCTGGAAGATTTAATTTTCTGCATCGTCTGCTGAGTCTGGGAGCTGACACAATTAGTACAAAGTAGCATGTGGCAGCGAGCCACAGAAAGCACTGCTTTTCCAAACAATTACAGCCCATTTTGTTGGTGCTGGGAGACACAAGCGCTCAGCCACTTGAGAAGTGCAATTCTGTGCTGCAAATGCACTGCCTGGAACAGTCTCTCTTGCAAAATAGAATTTACCGGCTAAAATTGGCAATTGGGAAAAGAAAGTTTCTTTGTATCACACTGTACATTGGAACCTCCAGAGTTATCAACCCCGCTGCTTCTTTCCTTTTCACCCAAAGCTTATGAAAGTCAAGGCAAAAAAAAAAATCACTACTCCTGTCCCACATATTTTATAGGAATGTGTGAAAATACAATTCCCTTTATAAAATATTATCATTCCCTTATTACAACACTGAGCAACACTTAGTCATGTCTGTATGCCTTCCTGTGTAAACAGGGAAAACAAAAAATTTTAGTTAGGTACCTCAGTCTGATATATTTCTATGCCTGAATATCTATATCACACATTGAAAGATTCTAGCTCCAGACATTTGAAATCTAGTCTCAGGTCTCTGTGCTTGTTTAAAGGGATACAAGTTGCAGGTATTTGGGGGCAAGGTGAGGAAGGAAAGGAGGCTCAGAGACCTGTTAAGGTCAGACTAGGGTAGATGAGTGAAAGGCTGAACAAAATCCTGCAGAATGAAATAAGGAGAGTAACAGCAGTTTCCAAAAACAGAAAAGAAAAGAAATTGTAAAAATCCACCCCTTCATGTATAAGCATATAAGCAGTCAAAAATGTTTTCTTCTGTCTATCTCCTAATGACTGCCTCAAAGGAAAGGAACAAAGAAATATGCAGTAAAATGCTAAACTGAGAACTTGACTAGAGCTATGGTAATTGCCTATGGTAATGTAACTACTATTTCTCTAGAATTATTTTTTTCTTTTAAAGAGTCAGTCCATTAGCATGTCTGTCCACAAGTCTGTGTACTTTTGGTTTGTCCAGACAAGTAAAAGCATGTGCAGTGAGTGGCTGGTTCAGAGCTTTGCATGGACTGACCTGCATGCTGGAGCTGTCTCCAGCAGTGAAAACATGCCTGCCTGCCTGCCTTAGGTCACTATACTCCATCTTCCTTACTACCCAGCTTTTGGCTTGCAACAAAACATACAATTCACAGGTTTTGGACATCCCATTCCACTGACATTCAGATGAAATTGGTTAATAGGTTCAACCAAGCATTGCTGTCAAGTAGGGACAGAGGGGGCATAGGGAAGAAAGGAAATGGATAATGTACATAGGATGCATTTGCACGATAAACCAGCATGAAACACATAAAACAGCCTTACAGAAGAAAAACACACCCATCTCTCCTCCAACAGTTCCATCAGGAAAGGCAGTCTGGGACCAGAAAACATGTTTTTCTGAAATGGAGGAGGATTTTTGTATCATTTATTCCTGCTCATGTCCCTGTAGGTGGAAAGCTGTCATCAGTCTCAACCTGAGCAGCAGCTCTAATTCCAAGAGGCCCAAACAGAAACAAAATGAAAACACGTTTATTTAACTTCTAAGTTATTCTCCTCAGAATAGGCATTAGATTACTTTGTATCTGAAACAACACTACTTTGTCCATAGCAGTTATAAAAAATATCTGAATGCCTGCAATAGCATTCATCTATGATAAAGACAACAGATTTAAACCAGAAAATTTACAAATGTGCTCACAAATATTATTGTTCCACTCCTCATATTGAGAGGTTACATAAACAGAAAATATGAATTCATTTATCCAATGAACAGAGCACAGCAAAACTGTTGTGTATTAGATCCGTAGATCACATGTACAGTATATTAAATTCATTTAGTAGACAGATTGTTATGTTTCCATGTAAAAGCCATTACAAATAATAAATATTTAAATATATGTATGACTAATAATGTGCCAGGATTATGCAGATAATTCATATTTAATTCAGTAGTTGCTTCATTGCTAACAAAGAGTAATGAACAGACCACTGCATGTCCTGCACCATGATCCATTTACTTTACTCAAATAATTTTCCAAGCACATACATATCTGAACTTTTCAATTAATTTCAGCCTAAGGCACTCAGGGCAAGTAATGCATATTATCAGGTAGACTCTTGAAAAATAAATCTAGCTTATCTCATTTCCTTTCTCATTGCAGTCTTTATCCTGAGGAAGCATCAAAATGTCACTGCCCTGAGAGAAATTAGGTTAGTAGTAGCTCTCCTTTCATGTACTTCTCTCAAAGCAAGGGATAGGTTTGAAGGTCACTTCAGTGTTCTCCATCAGTACAAAATCGTATCTGCACAGCTGTAGCCTACAAAAGCAGAGAAAGAAAAAAATGCACAACAGAAAAAGTTAACTTTAACAGAAAAATATTCCAGTATTTGAATTATTAAACCTCCAGTATTCACCAGCTTTCAGAGACACTACTCAGGACAAGAAGTGCCTCCTTGTCTAAGTTTATACCTTATTTCATGCATTCCTAGAGTAGCTTTGACGGACTGAAAAACAACCAAACATCAGCTGGATGATGCAAAGAAGTGTGTCACACTGGTCTGAATTACAAAGATGCAGCAGTTCTTTCATTATAGCTATTAATCTGCATTCAAATCAACTCTTTAGCAGCATAACCCAAAATCTGTACAATTCCTGTTAACACAGGAATAATTTATTTTGAGTTCCCTAGGTAGGAAAATTTCTCTGCTTTCATTTTACATAGGAAAGTAAAGAACCATATCATAATATTTTCTGTTTCACTTGCAATGACAGCATATGTAAGAAATTTTAATGCAAGAGAGCAATTTATCTTTTAAACACCTAGAAAACTCACAGCTGACTAATACTACAAGAACACATAAAGAGGTCACAAAGAGAGACACATATACATGAAAAGCATGCTTTTTGAGATCAATATGTGCTCTGCTTTTTAGGGCAGAGGCAGATCAGAGTCCTGCTCTTCATGCACTATTGTAATGTATGGGGAGAGCTGGTTTGAACAGGGAAATGTCAGACTCATCCCTGGATGGCACCTCCATAGCATACAAGCTATGAGAATTATTTAATTTAAAATTGTCTTCTCTGTTGCTCATAGATTGGGCTATACCACACAATTCACCTCAGTCTGAGAAGTAGAATACAGTGAAACAGCAAAAGGAGAGAACAGCACACCAGGCATTTCCATTGTTGCCCATTCTTATAAGATTTCCTATCAGTTAAGGCTCCATGTGTCTGTATGTGAAAGGACTGTCAAATTTTTACTTAAGAATATGACACCTTTTAAGGTCTCCACAAAGTTATGACAGTAATTTTATGACTAAAAAGATCAAGATGAATTCTGGTGTTCTGTACAATGCAAAGCATAGAATTTCATCCAGTCCTTCATCAACAATTTGTTTTGATTTGAATTCAATGTTTCATTATTATAGTATTTTTGTAGTATTATTTATATCTAACCACAGACACCAAAACACCTAGCCAAACCATAATACTGAATTCTAGAAATAAAAGCTTATGTTTTCCAACATATTTTTCTCATTTGAAGTGCAATCCATCTCAGCTGGTGATTACTGAGTAACAGGAATGCCTCACAGGAGAGTAGCCCTGAGTAGGGAGCAGGTTCACCAACAAGGAGAAAACACAACAAATAGTTTTGTTAGGTGAGTCTTCTTAACCCCTCAACCCAAATGGCTTCTCTGCTGTTTACTAAAAACCATGAGCAAGCCACACTTGTTCAGAAGAGGTATTTGCAAGGTCTTCTTTATATTACTTCTGTTCTTGTTTTGCTCAAAAACCCCAGAGGTGTCTGAGCTAAGTATCTTTGAGATATTCACCTTCCTCTTTAACTGCATCTGAATTCACTGACAGGTTCACAAGATTTTGGGGATAACTGACACCTGGACATGCACAAGTTAGCAAAGCTTACTGGTTTTATGGGTGAGCAGAAATTATTTATCTCAGGGATCAGAAGAAGAGTATGAAAATTATGTGTACCTTTCAGCACTCCCATATTTACACACCATCTCTGTGAATAGTGGATCAGCCCAGCAGACAATTGTCTGCAATATTCCCCAAACTCCCACAGTTTGCCATTAATCCAGACGTGGGGAGACTGAGACTCCTATTGTCTTTTATCCCTGCATCTGTCCCCTGGTTTTTATCTACTATTTGTTGTGAATAATTTAAATAATTTTAATGTAGTTTCTAGTTGATCATCCTGTATTCAAGTAATTGTTGTAATTATATGTAAATAAGGTAAATATAGGTTGGTATAATTAAAAAGAGCAATTAGGTAATTATACCGATAGTGCTGTAACATCTGCATTTAAATTACCTTCACATGCTGATTCAATACAGTATTTTTCACTGTTCTCTAAAAGTAACTAACATGCCTCTACAGCTGCAGTCTGATGAGGCTCCACATGAAGGACCTTAGTGGATCTTATATTAAAGCATATCAAGTGCATCTTACTTTTAAACTAACAAGAGTCAGACTAACAGGAATGAAAACTCAAACCCTATAAGGGCTGTTCACTGAAAATCTTTCTTGTTTGCTTGCTAGATCATTATCTGAGAAAGCCCCAAGTGCTGACAGGCTTACATGAAATGTATCTTCTGATTTATCACCACTGAGCTGAGAAAAAAATTGGAATATGATTTAGAACTCTTCACCCTCTCTCATCACCAAACGCTTTGAAATACAATCATGTCATTTTCACCTAAGAGCTTGAGACTTATGGCTTTCAATAAGTTAATAAAGTCAAGTGTATGTACATTCTGGGATACTATTTTGATTACTGAGTGTTTTGTTTCTTCCTAAGTCTTTCCCATCCATCTCCTCCTCTTCCTCAGTAAATCTAAAATAGTACATTAACATAAGAAGGTTTCATAATTTTTGCAAATTATCATACCAAATTCTTACTAGGCTATTATCATGCACCATATAAGAAGTCCTCAAATGTTACATCTCAAGTAAATAAAATATACTGACTTAAGACTTACTAAGTATTGTAATATTATTCTCATTCATTACTCATTTGCTATTACTTATTTGATACACATTTTTAGGTTTTTATTTTAAATTCTGTCTTTCTTGAATCTGCCATTAATAAGAAACACATGAACAACTTAAATAAAGTATTCTTGCTACTCCTGGATGTTTCTTACCTATTCCATGTAATGTGTTCTTTTCACAAGATGCAAATGCAAAATTTATCTGCTAGAGTTACTGTACAAGTAAATATGGAGATTTTAAAAATAAACATATGATATTACTGCTGAAATATTTTAAACCATAATTAATAAAAGCTCAGTAATTACACTCAATTACAAAAAAAAAAAAAAAAAAGAGCATCTTATCTAATTTTAACTGTAACAAGACACAGACTGTGTTCTGATCTTAGAACTTTTAACCATCATCAGTAAGACCAAAGTCACACATGTTGCTGAAGTGCTCCATTTCACACCTGAGAGTGAAAAGCTGTGTACAGACACAGGAGAAAATCAGAAAAGTGCTTGATAAAATTTATCTTATGGAGGAGAAGCTGACAATGCAAGTCAGGCTGGTCCTTGAAGGCACAGCTGTGACACACAGCACGTGTGACACCTCCATGTACAAGCTGCTGTGCACTAAATGTTAAAGCACACAGCAGCTCTTCCACATGACAAATTTGATCATCAGGATGAGGAGAATATTCATGCATTAAGGAATATGCAATTAAAAAAATTAATGTAGGGAAATACAGGTTACAAAGAAAACATCCTGAGCACCCAGCTGTGATACATGACAAACACTCACCTTTTTGGATTATTGAGAGATTTCAGTTTCATCTGAAGAATCCTAAGCTTTCGTTTTGGGCCTATTAAAGTCTTCGTAGAAAAGGTCAAGGAAATTTTTGCAATTTTTTCAATGTCTCGGTAAAATCCAGTCAGTATTTTGACTCTTTTATATTGCTGAAATGTTGAAGCTTCACTAAAGAAAAATATTTAGTCAGGCTTTTGTTAGCTGAGCAATATTCATTACTGCTAAGTATTATTTAACTGGGAAATCTTGTGGGATGTATCAGCTCTGAGCATTTAGAACGAGGCCAGCTAGAACAGGATTCAAACCAGTACCAAGCAAGGACCTGGGAAAGGGTTGTTTCAGGGTGAGGGCATTGGCCCTGATACTGAGCCACATCCAGGAAATGGGGCCATGGCCAAGTCTTAATAAACTCAAGATATTTTTTTCAACTTTCAAGCTAACAAGTTAAAAGGTTTAGAAAACTCAGAAAATTAGTCGTATAAAGTGATAAAAGAAAGATTTAAAGAGAAAGAACAACATACCTGTTCATCTGTGACTCTACTGTGTTTCCAGCATCATCTATTATTTTAACTTTAATGAAACCTCTCCTAATGCTTTTATTCCAGGTAGTAATGTCTAGTAAGTAGTTATACACTGCAGGAAGAAATAGGAAATCATGAGAGTTAAAAATTATCTCAACAGGAAAAAGTTGGTATCCCCACCCTGTTAAATGTATTTACTGGTAGAAGATAGGAATAGTGACTTTTTACTTTTACCCTCCCTGTTCAAAGGTGAATAAAAAGCTGACCTGCTGCTGACCTGCTTTGTGCCCTCACAAACCCTGAACTGGACTTTGTAGCCATCACCAGTATTGGAACCACACACCTTTACTGCTCTCAGTCAGGACACCAAGTAAATTGTCTTTATTTTTTGGCATGTGGCTTATTATTATTCTCTCCTAAAAGACCAGGCCTTATTTGAGGTCTTGTCTTGCTCAAGTTTAAAATTTCCCTTTTTTTTAAGACCTTTTGTCCTTTTCTGTTTTCTCAGGTTTCCAAATATATAATAATTAAGGCTTTCATTAATGAATACACTCTTTTTCAGACTGGTTTGTTTTCCTTCCTGATTTTGCATATTTTTTTTCTTCTTTATCTTCCATATTTTCCTTTAAATTTATACTGTCATTACAATACTTTTTATTCTGCTCCATATGTCTCATCCTATCTTTGATAATATTTCTCTTCCTGTTTTCTCCCTTTTACCACCACCAGTGAGGGGCAGGGGAGAACAGTAGTAACAGGTTTGGGTTGAGCTCAAAGACACTGGGAAGAGGAGTTATTTTACATTACATTATTACATTATTTTATATTTAAAAAAAAATTATGTAAAATCCATCACTTCATTCACCTCTCCTCAATCCTTTGGAAGATACAATGATGTCAGCAAGCATGACTAGGACCATTTGTTCCTGGTCACAAAACTTGCCAGGATGATGAACAAAACTAATGGGAAAACCTAATTTCACATTAATTCCCAGTAAGCCTATCCCCATACCCTAAATGAAGAACCTTAAACATAACTAATTATAAGAGTGTGTTGCACTTGCTCAGGGTGCTAGAGTCTTTTAATACCAACAGAAATTGCATGAGAATCCAGGATGGACCTACATGGGTAGGTAGATATCAAAACTGTTGCAGCTGAAGCCCATGTCATGACAGCTCATTGCCACAGAGCATAACTCTGAAGCTGCCAGCTGAGCTTTCCCTTCACTGTTTTACTCCTGGGGAGACATGGAGAAGCTTTAGTTGACTGTAGGGTGATCCCCTCCTGGGGTGGAATATAGAGGCATCTCTTTTTTGTCCCCAACCCAGGGCAGTCCCACTTCCCTTTCCTGCTCTCTGGAAATGGCAGCATCGATCCCATCTAAGCAGGTTGCATCATTCCGGCTTTTTCCCTCCCACCTGATTCTCACTTTCTAGCTTCCTTCTTCCTCTTGGCAGTCCACCCCATTATTTTTAAAGGTACATTTCTTTCGCAGTTCATACAGTATTACTTTCTCTTCTTCCTCCAGTCTGTGAACTGACCCACATCATTTACATCATTATATTATTTTACACAGTGGCTAACACAAACGTCTACTTTTAACATGTGTTCAGATCAGCTAAAAAAATAAGAGTCATTAATTTTTATAAAGAGGTTTTATGTATGTTTTTAGTTACTCACTGCAGAATGGGTCTTGGTCTGAGGTATCGAAGTAAGTTTTTGTTGGTGAACGATATGGTATCAACAGTTTTTTCCACCTATCAGCATGATAACCTGAAATCCAAAGTTTAAATATTTCATTTCAGACATTTAGCAAAATCATGATGCACATATGTTTACACAAAAGAATATCACACCATGACAAATTTGGCTTTAATTTTCTTAAATATCCTCTGAGAAAAAAAAAAAAAAAACCTGACTAGAAAAAGGAGGGAATCATCTGAGTAAAACAGACTGTAGTATACAAGTATTTAATTCTTCTAATATATTAGTATCACTAAAATTGTCATAATGTAATAGTAATCTCTTTAGTCTAGATACTAACTCCAAAAATTAGTGCTTACAAAATCCTGCAGAGGTAATAAAAACAACCCCAAAAACGCAACCCACATATTTGCAGAGAGTACTTACAGAATAGCTTTCCTTTTTTTCATTTGAATCATTAAATATCTTTAAATTCTTTAGCCTATTTGTAGAAATTGTTTAATAAAATATAAGATGACCTGCCATCCCCAAAGTTCATGGATTTAATGTAGAAAGAAATTTATACAATTCCATGATTGCTGTCTTTGGGGCTTTGTCTTGGATAACAGTCCTTGTTTCTAGAACAGAAGATCCTGTCCTCTCCCTGTTAATCTCTCTGCCTAGACTGGACAAGAAAGGCTAATTCCAGGTTGCATAGCTGCCACTGCAAAGCAGAAAGCAGCAAAGATTGCAGCAGAAGGATGCTGCTTCTCCACTCAGTTCCCAGACTCAGCAGCTGGGGAAATATTTCTCCACCTCTACCTTGGGCATTCTGTCCAAGTGCATCAGGCTTGGCAAATAACCATGCTGCAAAAGGCCTGGAGTCTTTCTGTCCTACTATAAGGGCTCATTATGGTTGGGTTTTTAGAAAACAGCACACAGATCTATCTATGCTTTTTCTTCTAACCTGATCCAACTAATATAACATACACATCCCAGCATAAGGGTAAAAAAAAAAAGACAAGATAAAAATTGAAAGTAAACTTCTAATTATGTATTTTTAAATTTTCATTCTTAAGAAATGAAAATTTCCCTGCCAACTAGGAAATGTTCACACTATTGTAGCTCTTTTCAAACTGCACCCAAAACCTCTGTAAAAGCAACAACCCCCTAAACAATTAAAATCCCCTCCAAAAAAAAAACTGGATTCCAAAGGAAGAGCAAAAGAAACCATAAAGTTGCTTTAAACATTATTACTCTTAAATAAAAACTACAGGTCCTCTAGGGATCACACAACTCTCTTAAAGCCTGAAATAAGCACAAGCAGTTTTTCTCTAGAAAGGGGAAACACTGAATCCATTCCAGACTGGAAAGCATAAAGACCAAAGAGTACAAACATTCAGCACCTGTGCCTAACAGAGATAATTATAAAGCAGACAAACCCATGAACTTTAAACTACTTTAACTTCCCAGGAAATCTCACCCAGCCCAGAACAGATATGGTAACACTTACCCACTACTGGGCAGGACATTGGCTGGAAAGCATCACAATCAACACATTTTCCTCTCTTGTAATCCAGATAAGAGTCACAAGGATATGTTATTATGTCACACTTGCTTTTCAAAGATGCTAAGAAGAGGAAGACAGATCTCTGATGGTCACATTTAAAATACTGAAGTCCTTCAGGGAAGAAAAAAAAAAAAGAAATATGAAAAGAATAGTTAGTAATTTTTATTAACGAAAAAAAGATGTTGTATAAATAGAATCATAGAATGGTTTGCATTGGAAGGGACGCTAAACATCATCTTGTTCCAACCCCTCTGCCTTGGGCAGGGACACCTTCCACTACACCAGTTTGCTCAGAGCCCCATCCAACCTGGCCTTGAATACTTCCAGAGTTCATCCTGTGGTACATCCACAACTTCTCCATGAAACCTGTGCCAGTGCTTTACCACTCTCTGAGTGACAGTTTTGGCCAAAGAAAATTACCATGATGATCACTCCAGAGATTCTTCTCTTTAGTTTTCTGGCGGAAATAAATTCCTTCCTTTTTTGATAAAGCAAACTTTGGGAATTGTGAGATGACAATTGTGCTAGCTTAAGGAATTCTTCCACACTCACAAACACACAAGTGGAAGCCTTATGCCTGTGCAGCACCTCTAACTGGTAGCACTGTGCAAATTAGTAATGGGAAACACTGACAGAAACAAACATATTCAAAAGAGTAAACACAATAATTGCCAGCAACCTCGCCAAACACTAATGGAGATGAAATAAGCAAAATTCTGTATAAAAAATCATTTCATAAAACTGTTTTCACCCTAGAGTCTTAAAGACATATCCAACACCAAAATCTAGTTCATCATTGCCAGCCAGGAGGAACCTATAACACCATGGGGACGTGGAAGCCTTGCCTTCCATGTCATAGGCAAGGGATCCTGCCCAAACCACTGGGACACAAACACCTTCCCCCATGCCTGGACCCATATTAACAAGGAAAAATAATAATCAGTATATTCAGGTTTTATATATAATACAATAACATAATTCCATCATGCCAATATAAATTACATGATGGGAAATTTATGTTATAGTAAGATAATTTTCAAATATCTTTATTATTTTTCTTTTGCTGTATAGGGATGGAAAAGAAAGCATACAGTCTCAGGTCCCATATTAATGACAAAGCGCAGTGTACATTCAATTCAATTTAACCTTTTTTGATTTGACATAGAACTTTTCTTCTCATTAAATAAACAGATTTTTATTTACCACTGAAAAATGTTTTTGGACAACCAGGCTGATCCATTCCTCCATTTGGATAGAAATCAATGGTTCCTAAAGGCTTCTTGAAACCTAGTACTAAAGTAAAAAACATCATGAATGAAAAAAAATCCATAAACAGAATTACGAAGGCAATTATTTATCATCACATTCACTCCAAAAATCATGGAGGTCTTAAAGAACATTTTTGCAATAATACCATTCTTTTTGTACTGTAAATCAAAATCATACTATGAAGTAAAAGTCACGGGTTTTTTTCTCTTTAAGCAATTTATATATATGTAAAATGCTGTATACAAATGTATATAAAATTGTGTAAGATTGCTACTGCTGCAAGAGGGAACAAACAGAAACAGCTGTAACTGATATATTATTTACATAAATAAATTTATGAAATTAATCTTCTCTCCAACCAAATTTCTTTCCTAGTGCAATTTTCATTAGAGTAAAATTTTCCATTTTCTGCAAGACATTGGATTCTGAACTATACTAATATTAGCAGTAAATCAAAGTAGGAAAATCTGTATCTGTCCTCTAAATGTAAGCAAAATTCCATGAGTAAGAGTTAATTTAATCTGACCTACCTTCCTTCACATCATCTTTATTCACAAAATGGGAACTTTACAAAAATTGGTATTTTACAGCCTCACATTGAAATTAGTATAGGAAAATGTTTAAATTTTAGTATTATTAAAGAAACTGATATGAAACTACACAAATAATGGGACAATTGTGGTATTAAAGGTTTACTTATGGTTTTGAGGAAAAAAATGAAACCAGAGATTAAAGCATAGATGAAGCAAACTTTACAATGCTCTTTTTTTTAACCTTACAGTAACTTGATTTAGTGTTTGAAGCAGTGACTTAAAATGTGATGTACTAAGTTGATACAGCAGAGCCTGACTGTCTCAGAAGGGATTAATTCAGTGATAACCATGTCCTTGCAAACTCTGTGTTCATACACACTTGCACAGCAAAAGAACATTCATGTTAACAGAAAATATTCTCCTGCAGCACTATTTGGATGTTACTGAAACAGCTTATCCCTTTTTCTTTTGCTTCCTGCCTTTCCTCAAGCTGAAAGAGGCAAGTCAAGGCTCTGTTATTACCATCAATATCTGAATGGATTACATCCACAAACTGTGCATCAGTAGGATCCAGTCTGCGCTCTGGTGGTTCTCCAGTGAATGAAGGGCCTGCTGGATCCAGACCTGAATAAAAACAACATCTGCATCATAAACTCTGGCCTCCTTCTACAGATATATAAAAGGCCAACAGCTGAGCATTATTCAGCAGTTACTCTTTATTTTCTTGGTATAAAAAATTTTAAAAAGCACAATTTTTCTCTTCAACTTGCTGAGAAAAGCAAAGATTCCACAAGACTGATCAACCCATATGTTGAATTTCTCTCCTTCCATAACTAGATGTGCTCATCTCCCATTTATTCAGATGAATATAAGCCAACAGAATTGGGGATCAAGTCAGGATTTTTTTTCCCTTTTCCCCAGAAAATGCCGTACCTATTATACACTTTATAAGACCAAAATGCAGAATGTAACTGCTCTCACCTCCAAAACACAACTAGTCAGACATTCAGCTAACATATCATTTAACTTAAGTGGCATCTAGATGAAACACTCAATTTTCATTTGAGAGACTAGAGGTAACCAGGTTGGAAAATTTAATCTGTAATTTATGTCCTGAAGGCAGACTTGCCCAATTTCCTGCACTGCTATCAGGGCTATATTTTTCCTCATGTATGTCATTAAATATTCAGTTCTCGTTTGTCAATGTCTCAGAGCTCTGACAACAATAAAAGGCACAATAGAATATGTGCACTGGGATTAAAAGCCTTACCTGTAATTCTGCCAAGTTTGCCATTATACTTCTGGCCAACAAAACCAGCTATATGAGCACCAAGACTAACTCCAATCATATACAGAGAGTCAAGAGAAGCTCCACCCACCTATCAGGGGGATAAAACACCAAAGCCAGTCACACACAGAATTAATGGAACAGAAATCACAAGGCTGATTTAGTTTTCACTTTGGTCAGTACTTTAAATTACATATCTAATTTTCTAGCTCAAAAAAAAAAAAAAAATTATGAAGTTCCTTTCAGTTTGCAATTCTATATCAGTTAAAGTGTAGAAATTATGAAATTCTTTAGAAAAATGTAAAAAGGAAGCTTGAGTCACATTTCTCCTGAAATGCCACGTTAGTTAGAAGGGAAGAGGAAGACATTTATCAGATATAAGAAAGTTGAACCAAAACTATAAATGAGGAAAAAAACCCCTTGCCCTGCTTTATCCTTCAAATAAAATAAATTAGAAACATAATACCATTAACAAATACTTATATCACACAACTGCTGAATAATGGTGCCAAATACACACCTTAAAATGCCTATTCTACAACACAGGCAGTATCCAAAAAAATCCAAATGAAAATCTACAGAAGAATCCTAAAACAGTGTCAGCTGACCTAGTTGTAATCCCTGCAAAATGATTGGGTGACACACAGGATCTGAAATATTAGGATGTCTCAAAATGAATTAGAAAGGCCTCACAACAGCTTGTAAGTGTGAAAGTGATAGCAGTGGGACACTACAGACCCTCCTCCTCCACCACTTTCAGGATTCACACACTGTCACTGTTTCCCAGGCAGATCTGTAAACAGCAATTAACTTAATTAATCTTCTCATAGTCCTATTTATTTTTTTTTTATTCCATTACAATAAATCTACTGGCACAATTGCAAATTGCTATCACTGTATCTAGTCCCAGATGACAGATTCTGATAGGCTTTCTCTCCTTTCACCTCAGCTTTCTCAAAATGCTGCATGCTTTTCTGAAATTCCACATGAATGTTTTTTTACTGCACAGCATTCCAAATTTCTGAGAATGGCTGAGAAATAAGTGGTGAGAAAAGACAAAAATTCAAGTGACAAATCAGACAACAGCATAAATAACATCATGACATGTTTTGTTCATGTGATCAAGCAATAAATCTAACATCCATTTAAGACCACTGGCATCAACTATGCTTTCAGCAGCTGCCTCTAGAGACAAGAAATTTATACCATTTCAGAATTAATATTTATATCTTTGCCAGAGGCTTATTTCTCATTTAAAATCTTTATTTATAGTAAATTAATAGTAAGAATAGTAGTGCAATGCCTTTGTAAAATGTTTATGCTACATAAACATTTGAACATCTCTCCCTTCACTTTCCCACTGCTGAATTCACTTGTTCCAGAAGATCTAAAGCTTCCAGCTGGTTCAAGAAATCAGATGCACTTTCAGGCACATTTCAGTGAAAGGGAAATAAGAACTCAGGTGAAGTTAAATATATGCAATAATAACTGCAAATTAAGTTAGTAATACCTCTATAAAGAAATGTGATTTCATATTGTCCACTGGACTTCTCTATAGATATATTTTAAATATCCATTCCCACTCAAACCATGCTCTTCACACTTATTCAGAACAGCTGCAATGCTCTGCCTTACCAGCATCTGGTCAACATAATTCTTCAGTATTTCTGCAACTTTTCTGCAGTTTTCCACAGCCGTTTTGTAATTCACTGTGGTAGCACCACGATTCCAATCAACTATAATGAGATTAATATCCTCTGAAGACAGTAAAAGCTTCTTCATGTTGCCCAGCCATGCTGGAGGAGATCCTGTTGGCCTGAAGCCATGAATGACAAAGACAATTTTCTTGTTTGTATTCAGATACTCAGATGCAGTAACATTGTGTTCAATGAGTCTCTCAGCACAATCTCGATTTTCCCTTGTGTATAGGAGTAGTTGAACCTGGAGTTCTGTTCCAGACAAAGCATCGCCTATGTTAAGGTCTGTAAATTCAGGACATTTTTCTTCCTCATCTGAAAAAGATGCAAATGTTAAGACAGTCATTTGATAATTCGGGCTACCTGAAATACCACTTCTTCACTTTTCTTTCCATATCTTTTTCTGCTGAAAGTGGAGAACTTCCATTTTCTTTACTCTTGACCTTTGGAAAGAGGTGTCAAAACATGCACTGAACAAGGAACAACAGTTTAACTAATGATTCTGCAGATACCATTATGCTTCTCTGAACCCTTCAAATGTGAAATTATCCAAATTTTTCCTGAAGAGTGTATTTTCTCCTTATAAGTACTAATTAGTAGCCAGTGTTGATAAGATCCTTTACCTCACCATCAAAGGCAGGTTCTCAGAGTTTTTTCACTAAACAGGAAGGCTGTTGTGGTTGTTTCTTCCTCTTTGGGCCAGGGTCGCTGTGCTGCCCATCCTTAGACCTTATTTGTTTGATCTAGCAATAAGGAATAGCTGCCTGAAAAAACAGGAATGATCCAGAACCCTTTCCAAGCTTTGGAACACCATATTGGCACCTTTACCAAGAAATAAAGGCAGAAAAAAACAAAGAATCATGCTCTGAGTTTGAAAAAATAAGAAGAATTAAGGTCAGTGTACTTAATGGCACAAGAAAAACAGTAGGATTTAGCATTTCTGTCTGTACTTGGACAGGGTGTACCAGATTTAGCTGCACACCAAGAGGATAGGGATTTTCAAAAGAGTCTAAAAAGACTAAATTTCTCCCCTGTCTGGTTATCAACATCCAAAGTTCACACTTTGAAGATCTCTTTTGGCTGATGAGTTTATCCATCCACATTGTATGGATAAACCACTTCAGGACTCTGGGCAGAGCACCAACACTTGTCACAGTGCTTCTGCAATGGCCTCTTCACCTTTGCCATGGTGTTAGTTGGTTTTTGGCCAAGGTTCTTGGTCCATCTCTTGACTTCTAGTTCTTATATTACTTTACACAAAACTCTTGTCTCTCTGGTGCTTAATGTCACCTTTCTCAACTATTCCATCATTAAAATCTTTGCAAAACAAGTCAGAAAGTAAAAGTGAGAAAAGAAATACTGTCCTCTTAGTTCCTTAAAAATAATATAAAAAATAATCTGAATTTCTCCGATTTTTTGAGTCATAAGAGAAGCGGTTCCAGCCCTTCTTTTCCCAGAGAACAGCTCGCAGGCAGAACCAAATCCATCACGTCTGAGATGGACAGCAAGACTGCAGCCTGTCTTAAAGTGGCCAAAGGCAAGCGTGGGTGGCTTACAAGGTATCTGAAATATGTGTTCAATACTACAGGTCAGGGCTAAGCAAAGCTTAACAGTGTGAATTATGGCATTCAAGGTGCAGTAAAGATTCACTAAAGACACTAATTTACTTGTCTAAGGAACTAGAGCAATTACCTCTAATGCCAAACCATGTATCTACAAGGACTAGATTGGTCACCTATGGGCTGGACATCACGAAAAAATAATGGATATAGTCCAAAAAAGAGCAGGCTTGAAGTTTCACAGTGTTAAAAATAACCTGAAACTCCCTGCTGCAAATCAATCAGACAAAAGTTTCATGCCTATCATCATGTTAACTACAATTATTACATGCAGAAAAAGACAGAATTATATTGAAAAATGAATACCATTGTTTTCCTCATTTAAACACATAATAATATAAGTAACTTTAACTGAGATTACTAGACAGATTATTAACTAACAAGTGATATGGGAAGACAACTCATTTCATCACTTGGGCTTATCCAAGAAGTTCTGAAACTGAGAACTGTTCAGCTGAAATGGACTTGAATTTCATAAAAATAATAATCAAGAACCTGGTAAAATGTCATGCATGTGACATGATCCTGAGATGTTAATATGTGTCACATTTTATTTCTGGTTTTCATATATTTGTATATTATGACAAAACTAGAATATAAATGACATTAACTTCATCTACCAAGTGAAAATAAAACCAGTCACTTGATTATAATTTCAAAGGTAAAACATTTTGCCTAATGTGGTCTTTAAATCCAAGTTTAATCACTGATCCTTAAAATTCACTACTTCACATCTAAAATATAAAAGATTCATGCTAAAATATTGCTCTGTATCCCTTTAAATATTTTGAACTTTTTAAAATAATTTGATTGGTAGAAATAAAAATTACTTCTTCTAAAACCAGTGGAATGACAGTGAGATAAACCAGACACAGTCTGTTCCATAGGAATGAGAAATCTATCACAAGGAAATTATTTTAACTGCCAAAACTTTTTACTAGCTGGCAAATGTCAAAGAGAAGCAACTAGTTTACTCTTGGCTGTGAAATGACAGAAGTCATTCTTTCAAAAGTAAATAGAGAATAAAAGCAAAATGATGATGTTTTTACTGTGGAATTAGATAAGCAGTACAAATAGGTTTATAGATGTAATACTTTGAATTGTTTAGCAAGGAGTCATAGGGGGAAGTTTTTCAAACTCCTGTTTCTCATTGAACACTGGAAGCAATACCCAACTGCCCTTTGTGCTCTCTTGTTGGAGTACTCACTCTTTTCTGAGCAATCAAAACATACACGTAGGCATTGGGCTGTCACACATGCATTTTAAGCAAGTTAATGTATAATTGTAACTTTCTTGTGCACTTTTGTAAGCATTTTAATTATCATGTGTGATTGAAAAGGGGAAAATCTTAAGTGCACAGTCTCTTTTGTAACTAAATTTTACTATTTAAAAATGTAACATGTAACTTGAAAATCTAAGCACCTATCACATCAGCAAAAACCAATAAACTCACATGAGTATATTAAGACTATTTCATGATTACGTCTACTTTGTACAAAATGCACACACCTGAGCAGGTCTCTGGGCAAAGTACAGCCAGAGATAAAGTATCAGGCTTGGTTCTATTTACTTTAAAACAAATACTTATGTCTCAGATTCAAAGTTATTGAATTTTTTTCACTAATCATCTGTTCCATTAGACGTAGTTCGTAAGATTTTATCTTAATCTTTTGGCCAATTTAAATGAAGGAATATTTTTTTTTAATGTTTGATTAAAGCAAAGATTCCACACTACAAGTAAGCCAATGGTTCTTACCTGATTTCACCCAGTATATCAAACAGATGAAGAAACACAATTTCAGCATGTGGAAGTGGAGAAAAAGTGATGTGTAATATCCACAAACAAGCGGCAAATTGAGTGTTTCCTTATGCTAGATGTCTAACACAACTGAATGACACCAATGAAGCAAGTGAGTAGGAAGCAGAAAATAAAGCTCTAGTCAAGCTTCTGCAATTTATGACTCCTCCTATTGAGTGACTTCAGTAGATAGGGTGGTTACTGGGCTTTGTGATGTCATATATTGCTGGCAACTCCTGCATATGTGGAGTTTAGGAAGTGGGGTAACTAGGGGTGTATGCCATTAAAGATCCACAGTGTGGGGGGTTTTAAGTGTTTCACTGAGCTGCAGTTAGGGGCACTGAGATGGGCAAAAGGAGCTTAGAACAAAAAGTCATTCTGCTGACAGAAGGATCTTCCTGTAAGAACTTGAAAATAGTTCTGAAAACCGTTTACCCAGAGATCATTCTTCCATAGAATTATCATCTGAGCTTTTCCAAAGAATCACTCTCTAATCTAAATTCTGAGAGGGTATGCAAAAGTTTCTCTGGTAGAGACATGAAGCTTAGAGTCCCACATACCTCACCCAGATATTGATTTGCTGGGTGTTTTGTAACCTCATTCCCTCTTCATCCCAGCTGCAAAAGAAATGAAGAAATATTTATTTTTATGAAGCTCATTTATTTACACATCACTTCACTGGGTAAATACAGGAGTGCAGACTACAGGTTTTTAAAGTTTGTGGTGAGGCAAAGAGACAGATAAACCCTGCATTATTTATGTGTGAAGTGAGGATGCTCAGTTTGCCTACATCTGTGTCCCAATTATTTCCAGTGCAGGAGAAAGAAAACCATACCACAACCCTTCAAATATGATGCAAATGTACCTTAGGAATGTTTCTTGCACAGAGTATCCTTTACAGTGCTTCTAAACATAGGTCTAGGTTTCCTTTGTTTCTTTCCACTACAGTTAAGTGTGTGTGTGTGTGTGTGTGTGTGTGTGTGTGTGTGATCAGTTTCTTCAGCTTTATTAATCTAAGCAGTTCATCAAAGCTGTGCTGTACAAGTTTTTGCAGAAGAAAGCCTTTAGGAGGTGCCATCAAAGGTGCCTTTTTCACTTTGAATGCAGTCACAAGGCGCAAAAGATGCAGTATGTCTGTTGTTATTAAAATCAACTCAGCTCAACAAATGACCTTTAATTAATTTTTTGCTCCTGTTCCTCAAATATGTAATTTTGTTTGGAGTAAAGTTCACTATGGCAGCTCTTGAATTCCTTTGCACTTCCCTGTCATCTCAAATCTTTGACACTTTGCCCAGCCACTACTATAAAAGCACAGCTTTACTGACATCATATATTGGTTATTACAAGTAATGGCAGAGTGTCAGTCTGGCTCTTTCCTCTCGCTACTTTTTAATCTCGATTATTGTTACAACAAAAGCTTAGTGCACCCAAGAACCTCCAGTCAGGGAGCCTCAGCATGCACTCTGTGTACAGTACCCATTCATATACAAGTTAAAGCATGGAGAGATGAACACCACTAAAACCAAATTGCTAACAGCCCAGTAAAGCATTTACCGGGTTTATACAAGAGCCAATCACCTGACCTTAGAAGAAAATCATACATATGAACTTTTACATGTACCTAAGGACACTAGCTGTGAATAAACTGCTAACATTTATTCTTTTATACAGAAACAGGGAAAAGAAAGGGCATTTTAAGTTTCTCTTGAACTGAAAACTGAAGTAAGTCCAGCTCACAGTAATGTTGATATAACCCCCCCATGAAATGGTTTCAAAGCCCTCTGAAACTAGTGCTGGGAAAGGACCCCCTTACCAAATCAATGCCCATAAAGTTTTGTGGTATTAATCAGGATGTTGAACTGGGGTGAACACACATCTCTGTCATGGGACAAGGAAACTGTGCTCAACAACAGCGGGACTTGTGCTTCTGAGAAATTCAGAAATCCCAACTCCTGTTACTGGTTATACTGTAGGTTCTACTGACAGCTCCCTTCATGGTGACTCTGAGTTTCAGGTACCCTCTCACAAACTCTGAAGTTCAGCTATTTCCCACCCCATTTTGCTGCATTTTTGTTATGCCCACTCATGCCTCGTGCTTTTCCCACAAGGACACACTCCTCCTCACACTGAAATTCAGGTTTATCTGCTTCAAAAGTGCCTTATGCAAACCAGTGGAAGATGCTGGCACTGTCTCTTCAGGACTTTGACTGACCTCCAAAGTGCTCAGGACTGTAAGAGTCACCACCTGATGAATAAACCCTGATAATTTCAGGGGACCCCACAGACTGCTGGCTAAATATTCAAGCTGAAAAGAGATATAAAAATTTAATTTTACCACAGTACAAGATTGCTATGGTTTATCAATAAAAGAATCGCACTACTACAATTTAATTTATCCCCAGAAGTTGTGGGTAAAATAACATTCAGAAACATTACAGTGTGGTTTCTCAAGATTAAGATGGAATTTTTACACAAGCCTTGATATGCTGATCTGTAGTCATATGCAGATGGTATTTCACCTTCTAATCTCCTCTCTGCCCTCTGGGATTCCGTGGTGTTGGGAAATCCCATTCTCAGAACAACTCTCATTTCTCTTCCGTCTCAAGCCTCTTCTACAGAAAGATTCTTCTCTAACCGCTAAGCTTAAGAGCACCGCTCCCTTCCAGGCAAGAGGAAATCCCACCAGGCTTTTGCAATGCAGTATGTTTAACTATGAAAATAAGTTATCTAAAGATTGCAAACAAAAAAACTCTGACTTGTTGGGAGAAATTTAAGACTTACTGACTTCTACACTGATGCTTGTAATTCCTGTAAATTGATAATCCCTTCCTAAATAGGCTTGCCAAGTTCCTAACTAATCCCCCTTTCAAAAATATGGGCACTGAGGCAATACACACCATTTATGCTTTGGAAAAGAAATTCTTTAATGATTATTTTTCACATTGTTGTCACCAGGATGACTTGTGAAAATGCGTTCCTTTGTAAAATAACACTTTAAAAATATACTTGGAATGCTGAACATGTGTACACGATTGAAACCTGTTTGCAGCAACCAGGCAGCTGTGGGTTATAAGGCAGGTGTAACTCCGTATTTAGAGATAGCAACCATACTCCAGTAATCTTTATTGAGAAGTGAACAACATCCAATACTGTATACGTGTGTTTTGTCAGTAACTATTACAATGTTTAACCATGCTGATGAAGGCAGCATTTGGGGAGTGCAGTTTCTTAACCCAATTTTCACATAATTATGTGGTTTCCCGGTAGTTTTTCACTTGCAGTTTCACTCAGAGGAGAAGGAAATACTCTCTGCCACACACAATTCTTCACAGGACCTTGTTCCTGTGCCATGCATGCTTCCACTGAGAGGCTTGCCAACAGCAACCCTTTCTTCCTGTCAGCAGGGGAAACCCAGGAAAGAAAAACTGAATTAAGTGCCTTAAAACACTGAAGTGTCATGTGATCACTGCGACATGGTTCCCAGCTGGACCTGTGCCCGCTGTGCCACTCTTTGCTCTGCCTCCCTTCCCATCTCCTCCAGCACAGCCACAGAGCATGCACCCCCCTCACAGGTCACTCTTTTCTGACCTACTTCTTTCTCCAGCTATACTAGATGTTGGAATATAGTAGATCAGCTTTATTCTCAAACATTCTGTGCTATTTTATAGTTTGTCAGTCTCTTAATTTTTAAAGCCATAATGCATGCAAAATTAAACTCTTCAGAACTTTCTCAGTGTTAACAGATCAAGTTTCTATTTCTCTAGAAGCACCATTTATTAGCAGGACAGCACATGGTAGAGTCCATCAGGTCAACAATTTCCTCACCAGCAGGTGCCTTCACCACTGCCATCAAATTTATAGTTTTGTCCTTACCAGAACCAAGGTGCAAATGTTAAGATTGCACAGAGCTCTCCTGAGCTGGCCCTGCCACACTCAAGGGAAAGTAAAGGGCACCAGGTGGAGGAAAGACCGTCTGAAAGAATGAGAAAATGGGAAAGTTGTGACAATGACACATGGAGTACCGAAAATAACAAAAGGAGACACAGAGAGCGTGGTCAGAACCACAGGAAGTCAAGAAATAGACACGCTAATACTGGATAACAGGATAATTTTTTTTTTGTTTTGGTTTCTTGGTTTTGGGGTTTTTTTTGTTTTTGGGGTTTTTTGGGGTTTTTTGGGGGGTTGGGTTTTTTATAGTTTTTTTTATTATTATTTTTTTAGTTGTTTGGGGTTTTTTTTTTCTATTTTCACGTGAGAGAAATTTTCAGATCTTTGAACGTTACCAAAGAAAAGGAATGTTCAAGATTCACACTATTTTTGAAATGTGTTATGCATACAATAGCTACGGAACCCCAGAACGACAGAATATGCTGAACTGAAAGGGACCCATCAGGATCATGGAGTCCAACTCCTTGCCTTGCACAGGACCATCCCTAAAAACCACACCCTGCTCCTGAGGGCATTGTACAAACGCTCTTTGAAGCTGGCCAGCCTTAGTGCTGTGCCCTGCGAGCCTGTTCCAGAGCTCAGACAGCCTCCACCAGAAGTACCTTTCCCTGACATCCAGCCTAAACCTCCCCCGGCCCGGCCTCAGGCCGTTCCCTCGGCTCCTGTCGCTGGCTCCCTCACGAGGTGCTGGGGCCGGCAAACAGGAGGGGCCCGGCAGGAGCGGCCCGGGGAGGCTGAGGGGAGGCAGCTGCAGCAGAACCGCCCTCCCCTCCCCTTCCCTATTCTTCCCTCCCCCGGCGGGCGCTGCTGCAGCCGTGGCCGCCGCTCGAGGCTCCTGGCGAGGCCGCTACGAGCCGCTGTCCCGGCACAGAGGTGACGGGGCCGGGGAGGAGGGAGGCGGAGGGAGGAGAGTCCCGGGCGGCTGCGGGGCCCCGAGCGGTGCCCGCTTCCTCCCACGGTCTCCTGAAACCCGCCGGGTTCCGGGTTGGATGCTTGCTAGTCTTCCCCTTGAAAGCACAGCTGATGTGGCCTGGGATATGTCTATTGCGTGGATAAAGAGGGAATAAT